GACATATAGTTGACAGAAATGACAGTGTATGTTTATTCTAAAACATGGATCAAAATGTTCACAGACATATTCATAATGGCCAGAAATTGAGCAAAACGTGTGTGTTCAAAATGAGGAAATAATCTGTGGTGTTTCACAACATGGAAAAGCAATATAAAAGAAAATTAAAGGATGAGTCTGATACTCATGCTGGTAAATGACAGAGGTCAAGCCAAGGAGTATGTACTGTATTTAACTACTCTGTAGTAGTAGTCAGAATAGTGAATTCACATTAGTGAAGAAAAATGCTGCTGACTCAGGACAAAGCAGATGTTGGCCATGATCTACCTCTTGATCAAGATGTATTCTTAAGACTTATGCGTGAAATATATATAAATATAAATTATTAAGACATAATGAAATGAAAAACTGTTTAGCTCAGAGATTAGTCTTCAGTGATATGTAAAGTGTGTTGTTGATCTAATTCAGCACAATTACTACTGACTTGAATAAAGATACAGAAAACCTTGTTATCAAATTTGTAGATATCACTAAAAGGATTCATTGGCTAACATATGATTTTTTAAAAATGTTAACAGGCAGGATCCAATATCAAATTTAACAAATTGACATTTAATAGGATAAATGTAAAGTTCTGAAGTTTAATAAGAGATATAGCTTAATAGCCACTAAAGCATATTCTGAGTAAAATCATACGCTTTATTTTTTTTTCTCCAGACAACAGAGCTATTTAAAAATGAGCAAAATTATGAGGAAAAAAGATCATTATAACAACTATATTTTAGACTATAGTTTGGGATACTATATTCCATTTATTACAAGTGAAAAAAAATGTTTAACACTAGACAATCAGACTTGGAAGAGAATAAAGGTATTCTAAATTTTATCTTCTGTTAGAATGCACATAGATTATGCAAATATATATTTATGCTATACATATGTACATATATGTATATTGCAAATACATACATATACATACATATATTCATATAAGTATATATGATATAAATACGTGTGTGTGTGTGCATGCGTGCACTCGAGTACATTTGTTTACATGAAAATAAGCTTGGAGGGACAAAGAATCTTGTGAATTTTTCATGATTAGTGGCAGAATAATAATAACCCAACCCTAGGCTTCTTGCTCTCTATTTTACCATTCTCCTTGTGTGCTGATTATTTCATTAGTAGGAAAAAAAATAGCACTCATATACTTTATTTTTTATTTTATGTATTTTCACGTGTATGTGCTGTTTATAGAAACAAAGTAAAACAAAAATGTAAATTTAGATCAGGAAACATAACTTTAAATTTTCTAGGCCACAAAAGCCCATGGAAAAATGGAAAAGAGTATATTCTCCAAAAGCTGATCAGTAATACATATTTTTTAATTAATTATAAAAAAATAGACCCTAAGGGTGAAGAAAGGTCTTTAAGAGACTTGAATATTCTGGTTAGCCTTTCAGCTTTAAACACTTGAGTAATTTTTTTTCTCAACTCAGTAACTTTCTCATTGTCAAAGTTTTTTTCTTTATTTCATAGACAAATATCACCATGACAATATTTGACTCTACCTTTAATTTTTACTTTAATTACACAATCTCTTTAAATATTACCAATATTTCTATATGTTAGTCCTTGAAAGTGACTCCAAAGAATCTATTTTTATACTTTTACCTATGAGGAGGTAATTATAATTGTTATTATATTAAATTACAAATTCTTTTTCATTCTGTAGTTATATTTTATCAAGTTACCATATGTCTTCAGATAGTTTATTTTTAATTCTACCCAAGAACTTAAATTCTATGTCTGTTATGTTCACTACCATATTCTTATGCAAAGAACTATTGTAGACATATGCTAAGTATTCTAAAAGAATCTGTTAAATAGAGGTAAAGTTAAAAATGTTCATACATTGAAATAAATTTCAAGATGGTAATTATAGTTTTCTTCACTTTTTATCTTTTGTATAATTTTATCATTTTAGTTTTTTATAAACATTTATCATCTCTTAACTTGATTCTCATCCTAATTGAAAGTTTTTTACCTAATTCATGTTCATTTCCAAAATTCACAGATATTAAAGATATATTCTCATATATTAGCATACATTGCATTTAGAGTGTGTGTGTAGGTACAAAGTAAATATATGAAAAAAATTTATAAGGATGGGCTAAAAATGAGTGATTTAGTCCTTCTATTGTCTTTATTCTTTTTATTGCATCATCATATGGTTTGCTTTTTCATGAATTTTGAAAATACTAATGTAAAAGATACCAGTAAATCTGTTGTTTCTCAGTGCTATGAGGAATTTAGGTACAACTCAGGATTACAAAATTTTTGCTAAGCATATAACACATAGGCAGAAGTTGACCCAATTGTAGTACCTACCTATAAAATACTCCGGTTCTAAGAAGAGGAAAAAAAATCAGTTCAATGATAATAAAGGTACATATGTGCAAGAGATGGTGTTAGAAAAAATGCTTCATGATTATAATGAACAGAATTTTTCAAGATTAATAAGTTTTAAAAATATATAAATGTAATATGAATATAATTTATAAAATGAGGGTCCTTTTTTATTATTCTTGTGAAGGCTGTTTTTATTCTCTTAAAACCTGTCCATTATGTATCTGCCCAAATTGCATGCTTCTCATCTTACACTGTTGTAAACTGTCATTTTTTTCACGTGCATACTGTGTGTTCATTAACAAGTTTGTAAGATTTCTCATGGCAAGACATGGGTCTTCCTACCTCCAAACCAGTTTTTATACAGCATATGACATTTACGCACTAACTTACCAAATGTTTGCTGTGATGTTACTATGTACCAGGTACTAGGAATAAAGTACTAAACAAAGTCCCAACTATCAAAGGAATACATTCCTGTGAGGCAAGGAAACTTATAATTACCTAATGTGTTTGATAGTGATATGTGCTATAGAGAAAAATAAAATTTGCTAAGGGAATAATTTTTCTAGGATTTTATGTAAATTTTCTGTAAGATGGGTATATTTGAGCCAAGATACAGCTGTGTAGATATCTAGGAAAAGAACATTCCAGAGAGAAAGAAAAAAATGTAGGCAAAATACAGGGTGAGGAGGATTTGTTTTGCCTAAGGACCAGGATGGTCTGTATTTCTAGAGATGGTTGAGTAGAGGGATATCAAGTAGAAGAGGTCCAGAGGATGTGGGAAGATCATGGGAGGAGCTCTAACTTTACCTTGGATGAGACAGGGAAATTATTAAATTTGGAATGGAGGAGTAAAAAATATCTTTTAACATGTGTAATCATAGCTCCTAAGTGGAGAAAATATTCATGGGAAAGGAAGTACAGGAGCAAAAACACACAGTGGGCAGGTGAGGTAGGAGGCTATTGCAAGACTTTGGACCAGAGTAAATGGTGGTTTGGATTTTGATAATAGAACTAGAGGAGGTGAGAAGTGGTTAGATGATGATTACATTTTGAAAGAAGAATAAAAGGGACCAAAAATTCCTGAAAATGAATGAAATATGAAAATATTTAGTGATGAATTGGATATGGAATATGAGAAAAAAATGATCAGAAAATCCTGAGGTTTTTAGCTCAAGAAACAAAGAATGGAGTTGCTATCCATTATATCACTAATACAAAGGTAGTTACCATGGTAAAATATTCCAAGAGAATCATGTTCCAGATAGAAAATCCAGAATTTGTCATTTATATGTTCTATTTTCTACACACAAGTAGAGAAACAAAATAGGAAGTAGGATATATAGGTTTAATATTTTGGGAATTTTTTATTCAATATACAGTGCTTACTATTTATGAAAAATAATGCTTATTTTTGTTGATTGTCTATTTCAATAATTAAATCACATTTTCTGATACTTTTGGCAAAAAGGAAATATCAAAAAATCTTTGCTTTTTGGGTACATTTTTTGGGGGCCTGATATTTCTGCTGAGATTCAAAGGATTTTCTATCTGACCTAACCATTGTTAAAAAAGGAGGTATTTGAAATCTTTCAGCAAACAAATTGAGGAATTCATATGATATTTCATTTGAAACTGAATTCCAAAACTTATTGATGAATTGCTTTATTATACTAATTGCATTTTCTTTATTTCCATAGTCTGTCACTGTGCCAGAGATAAATATTATTGGTCTTAAAGGATTTGTTCTTCAAATGGTCATCCCTTAGTTGGTGGCAAATTTATTATTTAATAATACGTCCCCAGTGTCTTTCTGGTGACTAAATTTAAAATCATTGGTCTATAATTACTATCCTTTATGCAAATGCATGCACATGTAATATATTTCATTTACAGTCTTTAGAAACATTTTTCATTCAAATATACAAAAGCACTGTTATTTAAAGATTCTTGATAGCATAGAGCAATTCTTCAAATATCCTTAAGCCCATTTGTACAATGAGAGTTTGAATATGAGGTGTTTGTAGTTGACATTTGGGAAGCTACTTAGTACCTCAGAAGGAATAATTGAATGATAAGGCTTTATACATTTTGAGTGACATTATGCTTAAAATACCCTTGATAACAGTTTAAATGCTTTTTTCTTCTATTGTCTCTCCTTTGAGACATTGTTGATTTTACTATGTCAGTAATGTTCTTTTTTATATTTAGCAGATTCAGACACAGATATGATTGTGAAGAGAAAAATTATGGTCCAAAATAACATGGTTTGATATCACACTTGCAAATTCATGGGGGATAAGGACTTACTGTTTTAAAATGAATAGGAAAGCAAATGATAAAGAATGTGATAGGTCATTTCCCCAAATATTTCAGAGTACTTGAAAAGATCTTTTGGCTAAAATATAGCTTCTTTCATATTATTTTCATACTTTTCTTCCTATATAATTTTGTATCCTGAAGAATACTTATATTCTAGCATACCCAGGATGATAACCATAAAGATACTAATGCTATAGGGTCCTAATGCATATATTGCTACACATCTTATAGTGTGTGGGTGTATGTTTTCTCTGTCTTATTCATAGGAAATGATACCATCTATTGGACAGACATGGGCTTTAATAAAATCAGCCGAGCTAAAAGAGATCAGACTTGGAAAGAAGATATCATTACCAATGGCTTGGGAAGAGTGGAAGGAATAGCCATTGACTGGATTGCTGGTATAATCTAAGACTTTTTTTCTTTTAGTTTCATACTTGTTTTGTTAGGGTCTCAATCTGCTTCATAAAAATTGTGTTTCTGACTCCTAACACTTTCTTTTATGCTTATAGCCATGGGCGTAAATAGTCTCTTTTGCTCTTGGTTCCACTCTTTCTAATGCTATTGAGCCTTAGACTAAGCGTTTTTCATGTTGAAGGAGATTATATAGTGTGCATTTTAACCAAATCTCCCGAGAGCTCTGTAAAGCAGGTAAATGAAAATGTTTTTTGCCTGAAGTCAGTATGAAGTTTAAATAGATTCCTTTGATGGGTGGGGAAATTTTCACCATTTAAAACATATAAATAGATCATTATATGGTTTAGTCTGAGACATATGAAATTAGGATTGGGAGTTTTAACAGCTTTCTTTTTAGAAAGTAATGATTAAAGAGTAGAAACTTAATGTCTTAATAGTTATGTGAATGTTCAGAAATTTAATTTTAGCCATACTAATAAATAATTTCCTATCTCACACTGTATTATGAACTATATTCTGTATTTCTCACAGGTAACATCTATTGGACAGATCATGGTTTTAACTTAATTGAAGTTGCAAGACTCAATGGCTCTTTCCGTTATGTAATTATTTCCCAAGGCCTGGATCAACCAAGATCTATAGCTGTGCACCCAGAGAAAGGGTAATTTTAAAATTTATATTTATCTTCTGAATCTTAAGCAGGCTTTCTTGTTTTATTAGGAAAAATAAAACAGAAAATTATATTAATATTTAGTTTTAACTATTTATAATATCTGAAACAAACTAAAAATATCTTAAGGAGAAAATGAAATTTATTTTTAGTTTGCTTATGCATATTTTAGTACATATTTGTTAAAGTCATTTACTATGTGGTTATTTTATATGTGTTCATCCAAATAAGAACAACAACATATTTCTAGGTTCTCAATTTAGAGTTCTGACCTAGAACTGTTTTTATAATTAGATATTCAATTATTTATTGAATGAGTGAAATAATAATTTAACAAACAACCTACTGAAGTTCCAGTATCTGTTTATGTGCCTGTTATCAAACTAACATTTTCATTCAAGCTTTTTTGGTTTCATTTATTATTTCTTTCCTTTTTTTTTTGTTGGTTTTTACTTATTTTATTTTGAGTTGTAGATAAGTATATCTACCTGTCCATTTGGAAAATTCGTGGAACCCAAACTTTACATAGACATACACACGTATAAAATTGAAGTGCATTCAATCTACCACCACATTTCACTGGTTTTTTTTAAATTCTACTTTCAATCTACTACCCTATATCTTTACTCCTTCCACCCTGTTTGAATCTGTTGTTACCTTAAGTATGTGCAATAAGTTCCCATTTGGTCTCCAAATCTCAATTAAGGCTAGAGTAATTTTTTTAACATGTAAATCTTACCTAAGTCCTTTCAAAGTATTCCCATTGCCTTTAAAGTCCAAAAGCTCTATTTGATCCTAACCAGCTCCTGTGCAAAATTTTCATCTCAAACACCTGCTATTGCATTTTTACATTCTTAATTCATCAGTGTTGGACTTTGGTTAAATTTTCAAATATTTCTTAATCTCCTTCATTTCTAGGCTTTATACATCCTCTTCCATTTACTCACAGTGCTCTTCCTATTATTAATTTGCAAAACACTTTTACCATTCTGTGGCTTTGAAAATAGATTGTTCTATGACCCCACAGCACCTACAATTTTTATGTATGCAAGTTCTGTGTACTAATATTTGCTTATTTATTTATATTTATTTGCCTGGTAGCTGTATATTCCACTATGCTGGGAAATGTTCCTTTTATTCATTATACTTAAATTCTTGGAGAAGAGCCATGTGCGTTTGATATATTTCTGGATCCTCAGGGCTAAGTATAGTGACTATTAAAGAATAAGAAGCTTAGGATAACAGCTTTCCTCTTAAATAACAATGTAAGGTTTTTCCCCATTTTAAAACCCCATATTACTCCCCAAAATGTGTTTCTTGCATCCTTAGTATGGCATCACTTAAGGTTTTTTCTTTCCTTTTTGGTACTGAGGATTTAACACAGGGTTACTTCACCCCTGACTTCCATCTCTAGTTCTTTTTATTTTGGATTTGAGAAAGGATCCCACTAAATTGCCAGGGGTCTGGCAAAGTTGCTGAGGCTGGCCTTGAACTTTGATCCTCCTGCCTCAGCCCCCTCAATCACTGGGATTACTGGTGTGCTCCACTGTGCTAGGCCACTTAAGAATTTTTTAATTTGTTTTTGTTTTTGTCAAGATGGGACATTTTTATGTAAATGAGACTCCTATATCTTTTGGAATGAAACTAAAATGATACAATGGTTGTTAAAAATAAATAAATAAATAAGGTGCATCAGATAAATAAGCATGAAGAACATTGAATTAGAATAAAATCATTTATATAAAATATTAAATCAACTTTCATGAAACTATGCAACCTATATTATATGTAGTGTGCATTTTTTCTAATATTTATCACTTGTTTGAATTTCCTGGTAAATGCTGCACAATTAATGCTAATATTATAGGGAGAAAAACAAAGAAGATTATTGTAGAAGAATGTCATCAAATTTGTCGTATTTTATGCTAAAACCAAGATTATAATGTAGAACTTTAAAAGATATTAATTGGGACTGTTGTAGGATGTAAGCAATAATTTAGCTAGAGCATATAGAGCTCTTCTTCATGAATAAATGAAGTCTGAAATTACATGGTTGATACTAGCATTTCACTTCATGGACTATCTTTTTATGCTTCTTAACTACTGTTTATACTAGCCTTTGTTTTTTGTTTTTTTTCTTTTGTTTGGTGTTATCATACCTTTGTTACAGGGTACTGTCAAGCAGCTGTCTATGTTTAAGGAAGGAGGAGAATGGGATGAAATATTTTCTTTCTAAGATCTTTTCATTCACTTGGGAGGAGAAAGACATTATTATTAGTCCTTTTGTTTTTCCTAAGCCAGAGTGAGTTACGTGCCTATCACAGATGAGTCAATAGCCAAAGGAAGGTATTATCTTGATACATTTAGATGTGTTATGATCCATCATCTGGATCCAGGGTAATGTCCCTAACCAAGCAACTTACATTGGAACTTACATTAGAAACTCAGTTTCTATTATGAGGAAAGCTCTTGAGCGGATGGAATTCAATGAGACATTAGGAGGCCAAAGAAAACCAAACTGTCTTGATTGTTATATTTCAGGGGTCATCCCCACTCACTCTTCTTTGTTCCTATTTTTTCTTTCTCACTTTGAATTTTGATGTTAGTGTTCCCTCAGGCTCCACTTTTGGTACACATCACTTTTCTTATTTTCATCTCCCCTAAAATGTTAAGGATTAGCAAATGTATGTACATCTAGACAGGAACTTACTCCTGATCTCCAGATTTTTATGTTCTCCTGTATACTTAGCATTTTCATTGTAGACCTGTAGCAGATTTTATTTTCCAGATCATTACTGTAATATTTGGCATCCTGGATGCTTGTTCTTTTATGTTATAACATGGATACTTTTCCAAAAGTGAGGTTCAGCCCTTTTTCCATACCCTTGAATCTGGGTGAGCCTATGACCATCGCAGATGTGATACAGGATAATCTCTGTATCACAAAAGGAGGTAAAACCTCTACCTGATCCTCCTGGGATGTTTTTAGAAGCTGCACTTCTCTGTGAGAAAATTGAGAAGCAGCATAAAGAAGCCACATGTTTTCTAATCAGTAACCATAGTCTGCCGCAGCTCACAGCCAGTATCAGTTGCCAGGTGTTTCAAGTGAGAGAATGTTTAAATGTCTCCAGAACCCAGCTGCTATGTCACTTCATCCTGGAGGTCACCACAGTTGAGGTGAAGTAGTGACAAATCACTCCGAAGAGCTCCCCAAATTGCAAACTCATTATCAACTAAATAATTGTTGTTTACTCCTTTAATTTGAGGATAGTTTAGAGCTGAAATAAGATCTAACAGAAGTCTTGACCTTTGCATTTGTAAAACTAAACTGAATCATTCTCTACAATTGTAACTTCTCCATTAGTTGAGGATAATTCTATTGTTTCATTTACTCAGGCCAAAATATATGGTGTCTCTCTTACTCTACCTAATATACCAAGAGACTCTATTATCTATTACTTCTAAATGCATCATTACTTACTTTGCATAAAGATCTTGTTGTGACCCTAACTCTGAGCCATAATCATCTCTTGCCAGGGTTTCTAAATTGTGTATCCCCATTTTCTATCCTTATATTCCTACCATCTCTTCTTCATGTTGGAGAATGATGATTGTCTTAGTAGCTTGTACCATTTATTTGCACAAAATTCACCAGTGTATCACCTTTTATCCCATTTTAAATCTCACATACAGTCTAAAGTATATCATTTTTCCCATTTATATGTTAAGAAATTGAATCAGAAATTTGTAAATGCATTACTCTGTCACCAAGTTGGTATATAGGTTTCCCCAAATTCCAAAAATTATATATATAATGTATATATGTACGTATGCATATTGCATGTAACCTCTCCCTCTGTGTGTGTGTGTGTGTGTGTGTGTGTGTAGTTAAGCATAGCATAATTTAATAAAAAGCATCAGTTATATAAAATAGTTTTATGATGAAATAAAACTGATCATTTAGAGATTAAAACTATAAGTGAAAGAGAATAAATAGTAATGAGAAATATGAAAAAAATATATGTGGTAGTATATTAAAAAAGCCTTGAACTGGGTTTTGGATTTCCCACACATCCTCTTACCTGCCCCGGCATTGCATAGACTCACACCACTGCCTACTAATAAGGAACAGATTCTTAATTTTATTTAATTCTGTTATTGAAACATATGATTCAATTGAATGTCTACATCATACCTATAAACTTAAAAAATATATTACAATGTGATGGTGTTATTAATATTTCTTTAAATTATAACTGAAAATTCACAAATCATTGCAGCTGAAATAGATAATATTTTATCTATATTTGAATTATGAATTATTATTCTAATGGCATGAACAAATAAAATGTGAATGTTATGTAATCATCTAGATAATCAGAAAGATGGATGTTTAATTTGTTTCCAATGAATAAAATTTCCCCATGATGTTTTTAAGTTCAATACTTTATTTGTATTGGTAGAATCTCTTTTGCCTGACCTATTAGATTTTCATGTAGTTCAATTTAACAAGCCTGTTCGTGATACTTGTCAATCTGTAGTTTTCTTTTTCACTTCTTATTCAAAGTATATACTCTTTTCAAGTTGATATTTGGGACCTTCCTTTTCTTAAGTAGCTCATCTCTTCACATCCATCTTTTTTTTTTAAGAGAGAGAGAGAGAGAGGAGAGAGGGGAGAGAGAGAGAGAGAGAGAAAGAGATTGAGAGAGGGAATTTTTAATATTTATTTTTCAGTTTTCGGTGGACATAACATCTTTATTTTATTTTTATGTGGTGCTGAGGATCGAACCCAGTGCCCAGTGCATGCCAGGCAAGCGTGTTACCGCTTGAGCCACATCCCCAGCCCCACATCCATCTGAAGCACATGATTAACCTACTTTCTTTTTAATGGATTGAGATATCAGGGAAAGGAAGCTACAAATACTTCATTTTTGTAAGTTTATTCAATGAATATTTGTTGAGTACTAGGCACTATGAACCAGGACATTTCA